ATCAGAAAACATAGTATCATATATATAATCTGGATCGTGTAGGAACTCATCACGACTTCTTTTACTTAGCCCCATCCTACGCTTCTTCGTTGTTAAGGCAAGCTCGTCTTCTGCTGTTCTTTCCTTACGAAATTCATAGACTAGTGGATAGATATATTCAATTGCAGCTTGAACAGCAGCAACATTGGGAGCTATAATATTCATTTCAATTTACTCAATAAATAGAGGAATTAAAATTGAAAATAAAAGCAATAAAAATACATTTATATATATGAATATTTTCATAATTAAAATTATTAAAATATAATTAATATAAATTGTAATTCAATACTAATACAAACCTGTTACAGTAACACTTCCAGTAGAAAATATTTTCAATGTAGCTTTTGGTTCTTTTAACTTATATGTAACACCAGGATGAAGTTCTGGTTCATAACTAAACAAAATAAATGATGAATAATATTATATAAATATTTTTAAATATTAAATATTAAATATATAATTATGTATTATTACATATATATATTATGTATTATTTTAAATATATATATCTTTATTTATTTTATATTTATTTATTTCTTTTATACATAAATATATATATATATATATATATATATATATAGAATGTTTTAAAAATATTGAAAATAATCCATAATTTGGAGATTCCTGAAGTAATTTCAAGTAATAATTTCCTTTGTAAAAAATTACAACTTTATTACAAATTATTAATAAAAAACATTGGCTAATTATAGAATACATATCTAGTCAAACTGTGACAATAATATTGGCTATATGCTATCAACCAAATACGAACAAATTTAAGCAATATATATTGTAGAATATGAGACATATACAAATATGAATATAAATATTTTTTATTTTATTATTTTTATTAAAAAATTATATCGAATTATATCATGAGAAAAAATTATAATATTCAATTTTTTTCGACATATGTTGCTTAAATTTATTTATGCTCAATCATAGCCAACGCTATTGTGGCGACTTGATTAAGTACTCTATGATTAGTCAAGGTTTTTGTTAATAACTTGTTGATAACTTGTTAATAAAGCCATAATGAAAGTCTTTGTGAAGAAAAATGTTGTTTAAAATTACTTTAGGAATTATAGATGTTTCAACATTTTTAGGATATTTTATATATCTATAAATAATTTTTAACATCTATCTACATGTATCTAAATAATATATATAATTATTATATATTCTTAAATATATTCTTATAAATAAATAAAAAAGAGCTTGTAAGTATACTCACTCTGCATTTTCTTTATGACATGATGAAAATGATGTTATTTTGATTGCAAATGGCATGCAACATGTACCCAATACATTGACTACTCTATAATTATTAAATCGTACTTTAAATCCAAGTTTCTGAAGTGAACGAGCAAAACGGCGAGCTGCAATTTTTGCTTGAACTTCACTTGTTGCACCAGTACATGTTACTTTACCAGAAGACCATATAGAAGCAGTAGTATAAGGTCTTCTTAATTTCATAGTTATCATCTATAACATACATATTTTAAAAATATTGTTTACAAATATAATTCTATGTTTATTAAAAAAATTTCTTTCTTTAATTATAAAAATTCATATATTTTTAAAATGCAAAATAAATATATCAAATTTAAAATTGAATTAAAGAATTATTGATTGCTTTTCTATAATATTTGAAAAATTATAAAATCAAAAGAATTTGTACTTTTAAATATTTTGTTATGAATGGAAAAATTAATATAAATATAATAATAAATATATTGGTTATTATATTGTTTATTATAGATATTCATGTTTTTTTTTTTTTATAAGTTCAATAATAATATATATTTATAATTATAATAAAGATATCTAACTTTTGGAGCAATTAAAAATTGAAAATGAAAACAATAAATTTCTTTAAAAATGTAAATAAACTTAACTAACTTAATTTAGAAAAGTCATTAGACATATGCTTATATAAATTTTTTTTTATTATATTTGTATTCCAAATTCATCTAAGCTAAATTTTTCATAAGCAAAGAAAATAATAAAAATTAAATATTAAATAATATTTTTAATATGATTAATATGTTTATACGAAATATATCAATTGCTAATTTATAATAATTGTAAATATTATATCTATAATACTAATACATTGTGATACAGTACAATTATTTTTTCAGTATATGTATTAATAATAAATTTGAATATAGATTTGAATCATCTTAAATTTTTTCATTCCATTATAAATAATTGTTATAATTATTATGCTTTAGATATTATGAAATATTAGATGAAATATTTTGAAAAAATAATTATGTAAATATGAGAAAATCTAAATATCAAAATATATATATATATATATATATATGTATTTTGAATCATTTTGATCTCTTTGAATTACTAAAAAATATCATTAATTATATATTATACATGTACACATAATTGAAATATATTATATTACAATAATTTATTAAAAAATTTATTAGAAAATTTATTAAAAAATGTATTAATTTATTAAAACAAAAAATAAATTAAAACATACCCCATTTTCTCTTCTATATTCCACATTAGATCCATTTAATGCAATTTCTCGTAAATTTAAATGACATCTAACACTAAAACTGCAAACTACGTTATTAATAACAATATCCAATTCACGAGGTTCCTGTTCATGAGGCTCCATGTAAGGTTGAATTTGTCCATCAAATATCCTTTCATCTTTCTCTTCTTTACATATATCAGTATCATTCAAATTCTTTACATCTTCTACATGATTTATTGATGTGTTTGTTAAAGGTTTCATGCCATTCTTTTGAATAGCAGTTGCCATAATATATATCTAAAAAAATGATAATTTATCTATCATTATTTATATATGATTTAACAAAAAATATATAAAATATATAATCAATAAATATATAAATATATAT